GTTTCAAATGAAGACACTTGTGTTTTTTTCCTCTCTTTTGTGCAGCTGGTGTTGGATAAAAGTGTTGTGAGGATCTATCGCACATGTTGAGCCACAAAAGCCCCCAGTGACTAATTATAAACTGCAAAAGCCAGCCGTCCCTAAAGAAAGCTTGAGATATTATCACACCCGCACAGAGAGACAGTGAGACTGAGACCTCATATCCAATGAGAGAGAGAGAGAGAGAGAGAGAGAGAGAGAGAGAGAGGGAGGGAGGATGCTGGTTAATCACAGTAAATTTTAAATGTAGACACATCCAGACAATAGCTGTTACTCTTTTGCAGTGATGACATAGTGTTTTGCAAATTACAAACTGCCTGAATGTTTGATCTCTATTTTTTTATTCTAATTTAAAAATAAATAAATACATAAATAGAACATTCAAGGAACACCCTAGCAACCAGACAAAACACCTTAGCAACCATATAGCACACAACCAATATGGCAGCGAATGTTATTCTTCATAAAATTACAAAACTAGACCTAAATATTTTTTTCTTTCTTTCTTTCTTTCTTTCTTTCTAGATATGTACTGCTTTATTTTTTATTTATTGAAAATTGAGACCTTTTGTAATTCTGTTTCTGCCAACTTATAAGGGTCTCTGTTTCACCTTGTGCATAACAACTCTTCTTGACCATGGTAACATCATTGTAATGCACTGCCTCTTCTGTCTTATTGCTTTTATTTATATTTTCGGGCAACACTTTAGATTAGGGAACACACATATTCTTACACACAAACTCCTAATTTTCTGCTTATTGATAGTAAGATATTTGTTGTAGTAGTTAAGTTTAGGTATTGGGTAGGGTTAAGGGATCTAGAATATGGTCATGCAGAAAAAGGCATTAATATGTGCTTTATAATTACTAATAAACAGCCAATATGCACTAGCAATATACACGGTATTAAGCAACAAGTTAATAGTCAATAGTGTTCCATAATCTAAAGTGTTACCATATTTTCTTGTCCATCAGGAGCAACTGAATAATATCTACAACCTCAGCTAAGAAACATTGCTTCTTTCCATAAACATAACATGATGCCCTCACGTCTCATCTCACACACTCTTTACCCGTCTGCTGCAGAGACTGAAATCTTGATTCGTACTTTAGCTAAAGCTCTGGGCCATAACACAAAGTTCCTGAGGGATGTAAATAACGATGATGATAACAGACGCTTCCATAAATGAACGTAAACATGAGCCACCAAATTACCAGCCTGTGGAGAACTTAAATTTTCTTTTGCTTTCTTCTCTTGTTCAATCCCACTGATGAACAGAGTTTTATGTAAATGTATCAGTGTGTGGTTTCATCTGAACACACACAGATGCTTCTATTATCACTGGAATTCATAAGTATTGTTATCAGCGCTCTTCTAGCACAGAATCTCTCTCTATAGTGCCCTTACAAACATGTACGCTTAAATACTGTTTCCCAGCAGGATCATATTGCTTCATCTCATGCATAATGTCTTCCACACAGTTTCCTGTGTGATATAGGCCTACTGTAAACTTTCAGCCCAGTAACTCCAGCGTCTGCGGTTTACAACCATTTTTGCTAAAATTAAAAGTTTCCCTCATTGTTTTATTAACTAGTTTTCAGCCAGTCTTTAAATATAATCCTCATTTCGGCGTATTCAGACACAATTAAGACACATTAAATAAAATCATCTTACTGAATGATTTGAGGTGAGTCACCAGCAGCCTGAAAAGGATTTTGTCCATTCCTGTCAGTTTTCCAACTAACACAAATCCCTAACGATCCAGCTCATTCCCCACAGCCGAGACTGATGTCACGAAACAATCCAGGCTGCTCTTCTTATATTAGATGACTAAAGTTTGACATTTTATGCTGAAAATCTGGTGCGTACCTGTGTAAAGTTCACTGCTACAATGCTAGGCTGCTGTGACGGTTGACAGGGTGTTGCTATGTCGTTGCTAAGGTGTTCATGGTATTTTTTTAGCATGTTGCCTCAAGATATCACAATAGGTGCGTCCCAAATCGCGTACTTATGCACTATTCTATGACATTTTGTAGTATAAATAGTGCGAGTAATGCGTTCACACTGAAAATTCCAAAAAGAAAAAGTGCACTTTAAATACCCGGATGATGGACTTAAATAACCGAAAAAATTAAGTGTTCGAATGTTGGACACTTCATGCACTCAATTGTCACAGCTTTAATTACGTACCGAAGGGGAAGGGGCTATGAGACTCCGATTATGAATGACAAAATAACCTTATATAATTCATACTATACATGGTTGAGTACATAGTGCATAAGTACATAGGGTATGCGTGCATAGTGTATAGTGCGTCATTTGGGATGCAGCTAATGTCTTGTTCTAGCTAATTGATACAGTATGCTAAGACTATTAGCTTGCTAACTTAAAGGGGCAATCGGATGCCCATTTTCCACAAGTTGATATGATTCTTTAGGGTCTTAATGAAAAGTATATAACATACTTTGGTTAAAATTTCTCAATGGTAGTGTAAAAAACACCCTTTTAACCCTGTCAAATCAGCTCTGTTTTCAGCACGCGGTTCTAGTCCATGTTGCTTTAAATGCTAATGAGCTCTGCTGACCCCACCCCTCTCTTCCATGGGTGATGAGCAAGCGCCAACCTCCCGGTCTCTCTCGTAAAACCAACACGGAAGTGATTAAAACTGCAATTCATCGACTGCCCGCTAGATGCTGGCTCCAAAAGGGAGTCAGTCCCATAGACTCCCCATGTTAAAATTCCCAACTTTACAGCAGAAAAAAATATGTTTACAGCCTGGTACAAAAAGTGGTTTTGGTCTATATAGCTAATTTTGCCCTTCATGACAACTCTGAGGTGGGTGAATTTTTTTATAACTCATCCGTTTAAATTATATTAAGCCTTAAATTTCTGCATAATTAAGGGCGTGGCCACTTGGACACTACGTCCATGTTTTTATACAGACTATGGTGACGAGCCGTTCTCATGATACTGTTTACTTTAGCCACGGAACTTGCTAACTAGCACGTTATTAGGAAAGGCGATTTGCAAAGATTCATAAAAAAACCCTTATACTCACTTCTACAGTAGATGAAGCTGGATCACGAATGATTCATGCGAACATAGACGCATTTAGGCAGATCGGGGATCGCGCATTCACTAAAACGAAAGTAACGTTAATCCTCTGCGTCTTCAGTGGCTCAGATGACTGGAGTAAATGACGACTGCTATATTAATTACATCCAAAAACAAAACACCTCCATCGCTTAATCAGAGACTTTCTTGTCTTCCCCTGCACCGGAGTCGACACAATGGCGGACTGATGACAGCTCAGTCAGGGCGGGTCTAAGGTAAGACACCAGTCCAGTCTGTGCTGAAACGCTAGTCAATCGTGGGAGGGGCCTGTACAGAACTACGTCATTCTGTCAGGAATCTCAGAACAGCCTGATTTGAGAAAGGGGATTTTAAAATAGGGATTTTATAAAAAACCACTGGGTGGATTTTTATCATTATAGGGTGGATGTGTACACACACTTCCAAAACACATTTATGTTCAAACAACAACAAAAGTGAATTTTGCATCCGATGACCCCTTTAAGGCATTTAATTGTAAGCTAAGAAATAACCAAAGGCAAACTGAAAACACAGAAAAAGATGTTTTGTTTTAAACACTTTAGCTTTGTTAATATAATGTGATATGTAATTTATAAGACATTCATTAACATATTTTCATGATTAAGAATCCATCATGCAACATTCATGCAACATTCTATCATTTCTTATCAGGCACTGAATTTAGTAAAGTGGGGCTAATGGCACACCTTAAGGAATATGTGCTTTGATTGATTGCAGCTTTTTTTTATTGAACAGAACATTTTGTGAGGAAAAAAAGTAGTTTGTTTTATAAAAGTAGTTTGTATTATTTTATTTCATAAAGTAGTTTGTTTTGTTTGGGGCAAAAGGCCCCTAGTATTACAGACACGATTACATTATCTAAAGTAATATGTTTTGCATAATAATACAAATTAATACTTGTTCAGTACAATAACTTCAGCAAAGTTTGTACCATATGTTTATTTTGATATATAAAATACTTTAATTTACTTTTATTTAATAAATACATTTATTTTAAAAAATACTGAAGAAAATGTAATGAAAACTAAATATTCTGAATGCTGTCAATATGATGGCTTACTTAGATTAGAGGAAAATAAAATTAATTGTACCTTTTACCCTGCTTTGCTTGTAGCCCTGTTGTTCCCTACGTATAAAAACTTTTCTCAGTCAATAAAATGGCTTTGTTGCGGAAGGGGGAAACTGTTAAAGTAAAGTTCAAATAGCATGTTTGGAGTGTGTTTAAATTATTCGGTCTTGCATTCGATCTCATAAGGTTACAGTATTTATTGCTGTTGGTCGGCTCTGCTGTGCTCTTGTTGTCTGGAGTAATTTACGCTGGCAGACAGCAGACCACGTTCACCTGTGTGTCAGCCATTTAGACAGCTGAAAGAGGGGCGGCCATCCATTGTGACTTTTACTGGATGTGCACTCATACCTAGGGATGTTCATACGCACACTAACACATGAAAGCACACACTCACAGATGAATCGACGTCAAAATGAGGTGGCGACACAGAACATGACGGCGATCGGGTGACGAGTGATACACAGCTGTGTGTGTGTGATAGAGAGCTAGCAAAGCACTCTGGGAAAGAATGAAAGCTGATTTCTTTGAGCTTTGACATTGCTGGGATTTCTTTCAGCTTCACAATCATCTGATATTTCTGATTTTGTCACTTTGCCTGCTTGTACTGAGACAGAGAGGATATCGCCCATATATATCCCACAATCGCATTAAGTCGTGGGAGTCCTTGTGTGTAAGATTATGTGCGTCATACAGTAGGTATCTGCAGCAGTGACATTTAAACCCCTGAGATCAAATAGAAGCATTTCAGCTGTTATTTCTCTCTTTGTCTCATTTCAGCTTCCAGTGGCAAATACCGCTTACGCTGGCAGTGGGAAACTCCAGTCACATATCAACAGAGACCATCATTTGGGTCTCCAATAAAACAGGTACCAATTATGCAATAATGAGTGTTTTCATTAGTGTATGGTCACAGACAATCACAATTTTAAATGTGTCATGTGGTGTAACCACCAGATAAAAATAATAACACATTTTTCCTTACACCTTGAATACACGAGCGCACACATCGTGTAAAAAATATTTTAAGAGAATTAATGACCTTGACAAACAATCACGAGAATCCCCAACAAAAATATCAAAATGATATCAAAAATAGAAAAAAAAAAATTATTTAAAAAGTAATAATAGAATATGCCAAACCGTTTTAAAATAATCAAGAATCTGATGTTTTTTTTAAATGGGGCTTTTCCTTCATTATATTGTTACTATCAAGTTATTGCAAGTGATTCTATGTATAAATTAAATTTTTTAAGTACATTTTTAGATCTGAACAGAAAATTGATTGTCATGTCCTTGACCTATGAAGTCCACGACAGCTGTCAGCCAGCAGCACATAAAAATACAGATAAAAGTACAGATTTAATTGGAGTTCCTCATTAAATTGGACTAATTCAGCTCCTGAGAGAAATGCCCTTTTACAACACATTCAAAATACTATTCATCTGTGAGTCACACCTTCATGCAGCAGCCCCACATCCACCCCCATTATATTCAATTCTGTTCCATTCCTTTCCTCTCCATTGGGAGAGCGAGGTGGATTTTCTTCGGATGGAGCCACAGCGAGTCAAATTCCAAGAGCCGGAATTGAATTAGGTCTGTGAGTGATCCGTGTGGCTCAGAGCTCAGAGTTCCTCTGATTGTGAAACCATTTAACAGCCTCCATTTTCTGCTCACCTTCTCTGAGAAACAGCCCTCATCAGAGCTACAATGCAGATCCACAGCAGCGCGTTCAAGATTAAGTCTTGAAAGAAACAGAGACTATAACATAGAGACCCTATTTATATATTTATAGTCTTGACCCTATTTATAGTCTTGAAAGTCATTAGTCTTCAGCTACTCTTGAAAGAAACAGAGACTATAACATAGAGACCCTATTTATATATTTATAGTCTTGACCCTATTTATAGTCTTGAAAGTCATTAGTCTTCAGCTACTCTTGAAAGAAACAGAGACTATAACATAGAGACCCTATTTATATGCATTAACTCACTGCCTGACTCTTGCGATCTGGCCGCTGACGGTTAGATGCTCCCTGGATCACGATTCACTTCAAATGTTCAATTTGTTATCCATAAAAAAGCCCAAGGTCTGGCTGGAATATTACAAGATGAGAACGCGGCAAACACATTAGATTACAGATGTTGTGCATTACAAAATGCTGAATGCATCGTCTCTTCCTGTACATTTTCATGCAGGACTGCTTTTATGAGTTCATTTCAAAGATGATAAATGCGCTGCAAATTGCAGAATATATCCGTGCATATGAACTATTGTGAGCAGTATGTTTAATTTTCTGTTATATTTCATTAGAAATGCAGTCAGTTTACTTTAATTCACTTATTTTTTTACACACATTTTGTTTCTTTTATGATTTTTTTTTTAACTTACTTTGTTATCTAATGATCACATCTGTCTGTGAGTGTCTAGATGTCATTTGGTGCCATGTGTTTCAGCTCATTTGCATGTGATTTGAGCTACACTGAGCTGTCAGAAGCATCATTAAACATTTGTTTCATGCTCTTTTTTTTACTCGTGTATTTATAGAGACACACAGAGTGGGACACGTGGACGGTGAGACGTGGTTGCTGGGCAACATCAATCAAACAGGCTACTTCAGAGTGAACTACGACCTTCACAACTGGAGACTTCTGATTCAACAGCTGATGACCAACCCAACGGTACAGCACCCACAATGCCGTTCTTCCACCTCTCTCAGTCCATCATCTTTCCTTTTTGAGTATTTCCTTTGAGTTTTCGTTCACCCTTCTGTAACGATTCTTCCTTTTCCTCATTCTCCTCCTCACTCCCATCTATCCTGCATGTTTCCTGCTGCATTATAAATGTCTCTGCTGTTCTCCACCGGCAGATCATCTCCGTGGGCAACAGGGCCGGTCTGATTGATGACGTCTTCAACCTGGCGAGGTGGGTTCTGTTTGTTACACGGCCCCTCTGGAAACATGCAGAGTCATTCAGAGAGCCTGAAACCTGCACTACTGATCCATTTAACATCCTTCACAGCCCCACAGAGAGCCGCTGGACTATTCAGTCTGATTCAGCTTTATTTGTGTGGTGCTTTTTATTGTCACAGTAACTGTTACATTATTGCAGGGGCTCGTTCACCTACCAGTGAGAAAGTACTTGTGAGAATTGTGAGAAAAAAACTCTTAGAGTATAAAAGCCTGTTGAGACCAAGTCTGGATTTTCAGTGCAAAACATTTCCAAAATATTTCAAGATGAAACATTTAATCTCTAAGAACTTTACTATGGTTGAAATTAAGCAATTAAATTAATTAAATATATTGTACTAGCTAAATATACCAATTCATTTTGTTATTCCATGAAAGTACAAAAATTATGGTTTTAAACGATTTCATTTTTTTCTTCTCTTACAATACTGGACCTGCATTTAAATGATTTCTTTTCATAAAAAAGTATTTTCAGATGCCACTTTTGATAACATTAAGCTGCATTTCTGGATGACACTGAGTGGATGAATCTTGAATTTCTAAAACCTTATTTCCCCCAAAAGATGATTATAATAATAGAAGATTTGATCATAAATGTCAAAGGACAGACAGGGTGCTTATACCTAAAGTTACAGCAGAGAGCAGTGCAAATGGTTCTTCATCTCCTTGGGGATTTCAAAAGAGTACAACATGACTGACGGATCTGAATGCAAGTCTAAGTGTTGCTTGAGTTGAACATTTATTCAGTCTTGGTATTAACGTTCATCTCAGGTCTGATCACATGTCAGCCGAGACATTATTTTGGATGAAATTCCAAAACGACTGTCTCATTAGTTTTCTATATAAACTGATTGTTTCACATCCTCTGAGGATGCATACATCCATAGCACTCTCCAAGTGGATTAAAATAGCATCACCAGACATAGTGTTCATATTCTGTTTGATCTGCTGATGCCAGAAGAATCAAAAGGATCAAATCCTGTCATGTTCACCAGCTGTTGTCTGTATGTGAAATCTCCTTGTGATATTTATCTGAAGTGGACCTAAGTAATCAATCTGAGAGAATTAGCCATTCAGCAGTGATGTAGATGTGCCTTTGAAAAGACCTAAATTGCAAAAGTAAAAGATTTTCTTTTGGTCAGCATGAAAGGATCTTGATAAATCCATCCATCACAATTGTAAAGAACAGTCCGATCCAGTCAACTTCAGTAAGACGTTCATTACTGACAGATGCAGTTCTTGTACTGTAAGTCTCTTTTCTCTTTTAGCCTGGAGGCGTTACTGAAGAAAAACCCTTTAGCTCATCAAGATGAGACCTGCGGTGAGACTATTGAGCCGTTACAGCGATAGTGGATAATAAGAAAGCAAGGGAAAACCTCTGTGTCCCCGCCTTTCCACTGCTGCCTCATTGTGTCAATCCTTCAGAGCTTCATCAGCTGCTGGAAACTCACGAACGTCCATTAATGTGAGAAGAGGAAGAGACAGAATGATAAAGGTAGATAGAGAGAAGAGCGCTGCTTTCTGATAGTGTCCTCTGAAAGTTTATAGTGCCACAGGCTGCCAAACTGCCATTAGTCCCTTCAGGAATGACTGTTCTCCCTAAGGTCCTCTCTGTTTAATACAAAAACTCACTCATTCTGCTTAATGAAAGAAATATTCAACCGCTGGCAGCTAGAATCAGTAAGCAGCCAAATCAGCGTTTGAGTATCACTGATGGACTTTCTTTTTTTGTACATTGCATTTTGTGAATTCAGGTGCTGCTTTGTACAGATTGTGAAATTCATTCATTTTTATTCTTCCACCAAACTAAATAAGGAAGCTTCCAGATGCTCTGCTAGGAAACTCACGAACGTCCATTAATGTGAGAAGAGGAAGAGACAGAATGATAAAGGTAGATAGAGAGAAGAGCGCTGCTTTCTGATAGTGTCCTCTGAAAGTTTATAGTGCCACAGGCTGCCAAACTGCCATTAGTCCCTTCAGGAATGACTGTTCTCCCTAAGGTCCTCTCTGTTTAATACAAAAACTCACTCATTCTGCTTAATGAAAGAAATATTCAACCGCTGGCAGCTAGAATCAGTAAGCAGCCAAATCAGCGTTTGAGTATCACTGATGGACTTTCTTTTTTTGTACATTGCATTTTGTGTATTCAGGTGCTGCTTTGTACAGATTGTGAAATTCATTCATTTTTATTCTTCCACAAAACTAAATAAGGAAGCTTCCAGATGCTCTGCTAGCATTAGCACCGCGGTTCATCACACTGAAACGACAGGCTCATCTGCCGGCACTGTTTCCTGAGCATGCCGATTCAGTCAACTGACGACAAACCCGCAGGGAAACTTGTGTTTATTGCCATCACGTTGGGCAGAGAATTGAAACCTGTTCCCCTGGATTGTGGTACGTCATGTTCATTTAGTCTGTTTATTCGGCTCGGCCTTGTTTACCGAAGAGCTGGATAATTGAAACTTAACAGGACTGAAGGCAAATCTTTTTGTTCCTGAGTTTTGATTTCAGTCTGGTTTGTACATATTGTTTCTCTCTGCTGTTGTTTACAGCTAATCCTAATAAATAAGAGCGGATGTTAACAGGATATGTCTTATTCAACCTCAGGGCTCAGATCTGTGGAGGTGGTTATTGGCTCTTATGTACTTGAGAAGCGAAAATGCCAACCTGCATATTAAAAACGGCATCATTGTTAATCACAATGTGTAGAATGTCATGTTTCTCTGTAAATTACTGGGATGATGAAGAGGGTTCGGTAACACTTTCTATGAAGCCCATATTTATAATACATATAAGGGTATTCTTAAGGCATTATAATGAATGCATAATGCATCATAAAAACCCTTGTAATATGTTATATCATCTTATGAATATTCATAAGAACAGTTTTAATGTTTTATAATATTTACTTATTTGTGGTTATAGCTTTTAAGAGTATGATGATTTATAACACACAGTGAACATGTTGAACAGACATTCTATTACATTCTACTATAAGTATCAACTTATGTGAGTTAGTTGACATGTAGTTGCAAAGTTGCTTATAGACTAGGGGGACCATGAAAATAAAATGTACCTAACATATAAACATTGCACTTTTTTTTTCAGTTGAAATTATTAACTAGCTCACATCAAAATTAATATTAGCCTCACAAGGAACACTCAAATAACACTCCTCAAATAACTTCATTGTGTGTTATAAATAATCATAATCTTAAAACTTATAACCACAAATGCATAAGCATTATAATGTATTATAATTGTTGTTATGATTATTTATAAGATGATATAACATATTATAAGGTCTTTTATAATGCATTATGAATTCATTATAATGCCTTAAGAATACCCTTACAATGTGTTATAAATATGGGCTTCATAGAAAGTGTTACCGAGTGTTCATATTACTGCGGGAACTGAATGGGCGCTGCTGCCTCAAGTGATGTTACCTAATTAAATGCCCCTGATTCTCATGGGAGTCACTCACACTGATCAATACTGCCTCACAAAGCTCAGTCAGCCTTTATTGTGATTATGAATTACTGGATCAATTGAGAAAAAAAAGGGGGCCGTTAGTGAAGCCTAGTTTAAGAATAAAAATCATATTTCAAGTGCATTATTAATTAATGAACATAATAATTGGGTTAATTGCATAGCTTTTGCATCTTTCATTCAAATATCTTCAAAGCACAAGAGTAAAACAAGAGTTATTAGAATATTCTCTATTCCCAGCTCTGCAGAGATTTTGGGTTAATTAAAAATGGGTCACATTTCAACTGATATTGAAAACAAATTAAATTACGTGTATATAATATCACTATATTATATACACGTAATTTAATTTGTTTTCAATATCAGTAATTGAAAATCTGCGATGAACTCAGACAACAAAGGAGAGAGGATCCAAATCCAGAAATACTAAAAATATGGATAAACAAAGGACTAAAATTGGGAACTAGGAAATGTAGAAAACAGAACAACACAAACACAGCAAACCCCTAAAAAAAGACAAGTAACCAATAAGATGCAAAGTCATAAAATCTGGCATAATAAGACAAAACACAGGTAGAATCAATCAAAGAATAACAAGGAGAAACAAGAACAAGAACTAAACAAGGCAAACTACAAAAAAAAAGCACAAGGAAGACAAACAGGAAATACATGTTAATCTGGGTTTGAAATGAACTTTTTCACTTTGCCTTCAAACATTTTTAAGTTAGCGGCCATTCATAACTTCTACTAGCCAAAACAAAAATATCAGAAATAAACTAGATTATCATCACTGCTTAGATTTAAATATATTGAAATTCTATGTCAATCTGATTCTGAAGCATTCAATGGCTATCAGTTTTATGAATTGTTTGCGAATACCATAAAAATGTAATTAAATAGAAATAAAAATTCTACAAAATTCGATGTGATTTCTCATATAAATAAATATGGAAAATAAATTCAAATGCTTTATGGTAAACACATTGAAGATTAGCGGACAGGCTGTCAATTTATAAAGTGATCAGCTGTTTTTTAGCTTGGGTATTTAAACTCATAGAAAACAATTTGTTTGAATTTTACAGACATTTCTCATCCAGTGTGTCCCTACTTACTTACTTACTTACTTATTCAACACATTATAGTGTTAAAACATATACAAATTTTCAGTTCTACTAAACTAGATTAAAGGAATTAACAGTTGCTGTTAACAGCTGGCTGCCGTTATTGCGATCACTAGCTACTTGTCTAGACACACTGCGTTTTGAACTTCCATAGAAATGCTCATCTGTTTCTAACCTAACATTAGCATCATCAGCAGGTTGTTGCCATAGAGACAGAAGGTTTGTTTGTGGCACCTGTAAAACATCACAAGACCTGTCGACAATTCTGTCATTTCTCACACAGCAGCAAGAGAGAATTACAAAACAATGCTAGGAGAGCATTTTAGACTTTTTTCATATTCTTTCTCTTTGACACAATATTGTTTATGCACATAGAGCGATCTCATTTGACTCTGAGTCTCAGTGATGGAGTTCCGTAATAGGCCTGTTTGAAATGCTCTGCCAACGCTCCGACTAAATGAGCTACAATTACAGGCCAATTTAGAAAGTCGATTTATTTAGGAGACTGTTACTCATGAGTTATTTCAATGTCAGTGACATTTGCCTTGTTTAAAAATGAAACAGCTTTTTAATTTAGATTTTTTAAAAATCCAACGTGTAAATCATGTTAAAACAATTCCCTCTGTGTTCAAGAGCCACATACTGTTATTTTCAACTCGTTGACCTTCTGTGTGTTTTTGTGTGTGTGTGTGTGTGTGTGTGTGTGTGTGCGTGCGTGTGTGTGTACCTGGTATTTATCACGTTATGGGGACATTTTTGAGGTCCCCATAAGGAAACAAGCTTATAAATCATACAGAATGAGTTTTTTTGAGAAAGTAAAAATGCACAAAGTTTCCTGTACAGGGTAGGTTTAGGGGTAGGGTTGGTGTAGGGCAATAGCACATACTGTTTGTACAGTATAAAAACCATTACGCCTATGGAATGTCCCCATAAAACATGGAAACACAACATGTGTGTGTGTGTGTGTGTGTGTGTGTGTGTGTGTGTTTTCACATCCCAAAAGCATGAGAGTGATCAACTCGTTCATTACTGTGCTCACTAACAGCAGGAAAAACATGAGTGCCTCATGACAGTTTTATGGTCATGTTGTGTTCTTTTATTTTTAATGAAAATTTCCCCTAAATAATGCAAAAAGAAAAAGAAAAGGGAAGTTTTTATGGAAAGGATAAACTAAATGGCCTTATTCCAGTCGCTACTGTTGGAATGTGGTAATAATGGAAGTGTCTCTAAATATAAATGACAACCATTATGTCATATGCTTTATTTTTCCTCTGAAGAAGCACACTTTAATAGTGTATCCACACTTTAATAGTTAGTTTCTGTTAAAGGCTATATTAAAGCACACACACACACACACACACACACACACACACACACACACACACACACACATATATATATATATATATATGTGTGTGTGTGTATGTACGTGTGTGTGTGTGTGTGTTTATATACATGATTTGCAGTCATTTATATGCTAATATGTCTTGAAGTGCTGAAGCTCAAGGAGAAACATAACATAATTAATGCACATGCAATACAATTAATGTGAGGATTGAAAAGCTCTTGCCTCTGTGTCAAGATTGCATCTTTCATGTCTTGTTCACACATCAATCAGGAGAATATATATTGAATATTTCCATGTGATCAGTGTGAGAGAATGACAGTCGATGAGTGTTTCAAGTGCCTTGACATCATTATAGGCTGATTAATTGTTTATTGTTATACAATTATTTCTCATTAAACAGTTTAATGCTTTATTCTGGCTGACGACAGCTTGGATACAAACAATGGCATGCGCAAGTTGTTCTACTCAAGGTTTAGACACAAAATCCTGAAATGTTTTGAGATAAAAACATATACATGTGTTAATCGTGGCAATAGCTAAATTATTGACTCTTGAGCTGAATTATTGATTCGAACTGTTGAATTATTGGAAATTAATACTTGCCTGGGGTGCAGCTACTCTGCTTTGGGTCTGCACTGAATGTCAGTTATTCCTGATTTTAATATTTTGAGTTTTGCTCTTGTTTTAGGAATATTTTGGATTTTTTAATATCACTGAGGAAAGATGTTACGCTGATATCCAATTTGAAGACGCTCCTTTCTTCTGTAATACTGTATGTTAACAGGCTGTTCAAAGGCAGAAATACATGGTTTCCGATCTCAATTAGACACAAACCTCTTTGAACACCTTGAGCTAAAACTCTTTTCAGTTAAACAGTATTCATTTATCTTTCCTTGATATCCTAAATGCATTTGCTACTTCACCATGCAGATGTTGAAATAGTTTGTTTTTAATTCTTCACAGCCTCCTATGTCTCCTGCTAATGTTAATGCAAATCAGTTTCTCTGGAAATGTTAAAAACCTCCTTGGGTAACAGTGGGTGTCTGTGAGTAACTGTGATTAATGTCCCAATTAAATGTGTGTTGGGTGAATCTGTCCTCGGGAATTTAATGAGTCTGTTTTCAAGTCTAAACACTTCCTTTTTTGCCTGACCTCTGATAGGGAGCGCTTATGTGCCCTGCATTAAATTGTGAGAAATTAAGATTCATTTCCTGCATTATGAGTCAGAGAAAGGCCACAGCGCAGGTGGAACATAAATACGATCTCAACTAGATTTTTAGATTTTCTGAGTGGTGCTTGCATATGCAAAACTCATTCCTATGATGCTTGGGTTTCTAGAACGTTGCCAAGGCATTTGGGTGGGCAAAAGTGTGCACCTTAGCAAAAACCAAAGCATTCGCTGGTTCCAACGCTCTTGGAAAGTCTCATCTCTCTTGTGTTTTTGCTCTAAGGATATCGGCCGCTTCTCTTTTTTTTCCACTCTCATGAGATACTTGTGCGAGTTTCTAAAAAGACTGAAGGGAAAGTCGGTAGGGAACATGGATTGAAAATAAATGGAGGAGGTACCGATGTCTGGCAGAAACACAGTGTCTCATTTGACTAGAGCCCAAGGTCCTGCTAAAGTACTTCTGGGATTTGATATGCCGCTCCAAATGACAGTGAATATGTGCTGTTAATACTCATGTCTGTGTTTTAGAAGAGATCTTATGTTTTATGGATTTATGCAAATTGAACACGACTGTAGCTGTACAGGAGAAGCTGTTTTTTTGTTTCTTACAGCACATTATGACTTCCCACACAAAGCAATGCCTGGCAGTTATTCTAAATGAATAATGATGAACAAAATTAACTGTTTGTAATCAAATGTTAACGATGTGTCTACCAAAAGGGAAATATGTGTAAAAATTAGCTGCTAGTGTCTGATCCTCGTACTCTCTTTTTTTTTCTCTAGAGCGGGGTATTTGCCCCAAAACGTCCCCCTGCAGACGATCTCATATTTGTCTCAGGAGACCGAGTTTCTGCCGTGGCACGCTGCTAGTCGAGCTCTTTACCAGCTGGACAAACTCCTAGACCGCACTGAAGACCACAGCCTGTTCAGCGTGAGTCTGATCTCAGATCAGTTTGGTGTCTGGTGTATTTTAACCTTGACTAGTGCAATAAGAAAGACACAGCAGATATCTAGCAGCACATCTCAGATGGCTCGACTCACCGCCAGACAGATTCAAAACTTCCTCTGATCATCATCCAAAACAGCAGTCCAAAATATTTCCAGACACAATGCCTGTTTGCTGCAGCATTTTAAAAAACTGACACATACTAAAAATAGAGTGAAATCTCCACCATTGCTTGTGCTTTATTTGTAATGTTCAGAATTGCATACTACTCATACTGTTTCTATACACTATGTATGTTATTGGACGTTTGTACCAAAAACAGAAAGCACTATGAGCATTTTTATGTTTTTAAAGATAGTATGCAGTATGCAGTGCAGTGTACTAGTATTCTAACACAGCCTAACATGACAGTGTCAGACTCTTTCTCTGTTCCTTGGCTTCTGTCTTGCCTGTACGCCTGCTTTCATATTCATTTATCACTTTGTTATTCAGAATAGCACTCAAATGCCTACCCACAATCCCTCAGTGCGCATGAGTAATTTCTGCCCCTCCTCTGTAATGGACGACCCTTTAGTGTCAGCAGTGAGAGTGTGATGAATTTAATAACATCTTCTCTCTATTTTTCTCCATCACGGTGTTTACTGTGAGACAGAACAGATATTTAGAATGTAATGCAAGACAGGAAACAGCTGGAGCAGATTAGTCAGGTGCCTTCAGTCATGTGGCCAGGTGTCTCAACCTGTCAGACCAAACAAACCCCTCTCTGTGTGTGTTTGTGTGTGTGTTTGTGCTGGTCAGTGTATTTTGGCCTGTTCACACACAAACACAGCATCACTAATCGTCAAACTAATTAGTTAACTAACAGTTAATCTGTTGGCAAAACAAGAATACGTCACTCAATTGCTGTAGAAAAACACACCTGATCAGCTGTATGGTATACCACAGTATGGAAAACAATGTCCTCTACCAGCATTTATGTGCTTTTATCCGTGTAAGTGTGTGTGTTAATAATTGAATTGCGGCATAGCAGGGTCTAATTGTGATCATTCAGTCGTCTCAGTAAGAGGGCATGAAATAGAGCAGTGATGCTAAATTAGCCATGACATTACTTGCTGCGACATTTCCCTCTACCGTATGGCGAGTCAAAACACGTACACACACACACACACACACACACTTATAATGTATATAATAAAAAAAACTATACAAAGCAACTCAATATATGAAACTTCAGACAACATTTTGTCTCCTCTTTTAATGAAGACTCATCTGTTTCTGTTTGGCAAGACTTTTGCATTACTAAATACTGTAATACTTTTTTTTAAAGCTTATTCATGAAAACTTAAAGGGGTCCTATTATGCTCTTTTACAAAGTCTTGATCTTGTTTTGGGGGTGTACTAGAACAAGCTCTCATACTAGGTTGTTCGAAAATCACATTATTTTTCACATATTTTACATTATTACAACACCTCTCTGCCCAGTCTGGCATGAACGGCTCGAATAGTTCCTGTATCAAATGAAGGCCCGCCTTCTGAAATACAAAATGTACTGTTCGTTCGTTGTAGTTTTTGAAAAGTGATTTCTGTTAAATAAAATATATCCTTTTGAATTGGACTTTGAGCTTTATAACTTTGCAGATCTTTTTTATGCTCAAACAGCAACATTACAGACTAACTAAAGTTGAAAAAGTGAAAAAGCATAATAGCACCCCTTTAAACATTCCTAAATTACCCATTTTTGCTTAGTTTTCATAATTGGACTGAATGGACTTGGGAGTTAGCTTTGTTCATTTACAAAGTACATCAAAGTGGTATTTCAAGAGAAAATTAAATCCTGGTCTCACTCTTTTTCTGCCTTTTGTTTTACACTTTGTTTTGTTTTGTTTTGTGTCATCAGCACTATGTTCTAAGACAGGTGGAACCGAAGTATCACAAGTTGGGCTGGCCGGCCGCTTCCCCTGACGGCTCCTTCATGCAGGTGGCTTATCAGGCCGAGTGAGTCTTGAATTTCATATTTCTTGAATTATGGATTACAGTTATAAACTTATATGTAGTCTAAGTAAGGACACTGAATTGCAAAGTGTAAGCCAGACATTTTCCACCTCCGAGATGGGAATGACCTCAGTAGACATGTATTTAATTTGTCATTTCCCCCTTCCTCCGTCTTTAACTTCCTGCTAATGTACTTCCTTCTTTCCTCCTCAGAGAGTTGCAGAGAGAGGTGATGATGCTGGCCTGCAGTTTTGGAAACAAACACTGTCACCGGCAGGCTGTTTCTCTCATTTCAGACTGGATTTCCAGCAACAATAACAGGTGAGCAAATTCACAGAATGACTGTACAGAATGATACATTTTACAGAATGAGAATATTGCAAAATATGGTTGGTTATTGTTCTGTATGTTCAACCCTGCCAAGATTCATACAGTAGGAGCTTTATTCCAAGTGTCCATGGCAACACACATTTGTTCATCTAATTTGTTTTCACTGCTACCCACAGCAATGTTCATATATATGTATGTAGTATCACACTGTCAAACACACCATGCCACCGGCAGGGACTAATGACCATAATGGAGAATAAACAGGATTGTGGGTGTATGTTCTTACTCTACCAAAGATATTGTGTTTGCCCAGCTTTTAGGATTTTTTTATATATATATATATATATATATTTGAGCCAAACAGTTGTCCGCATGCCTACAAACACATGAAAGACCACATACACAGTACACACTGGCAACCTCAGTCAAATAGGGGGAGGGTGAACCAACTCCAGGGTAAGGCTAAAAGTACGTAGCCTAATGGTTAGCGATGACGAATCTGAACACCTCTGATTGGCCACTGCATTCATAAGCTCAACACAATCATGTGTGATTGGTTATAATGTGCAACACGTAAAAAGAAATATGATGCAACATGAGCAGATCTAAATTTAATGCCGCAATTGACAATTTTCATTCCATTTTAACTTTATTCGTGACAGTAATAGATTTAGTTTAATCGTGCAGGAGCATTTTTGTCCAATTTGGTGGCATTTTTGTTAATTTCTGACCTGTGGCCTGGGGAAGGCTAAGTCTTGCCCAGCCTTACCAATACCTCAGTCGTGTTGGAAATTTGCTCACAAAATTGTGCCCTTTTGACAGACAGACCTTTAATACATGCACAGATGCTTTATTACACATAAAATGTGTCACATATTGGCCTTGGCTTCATATAATGTGCATTTAATGACTCTAACTTGACACTAATTAAAGCAGGCTTCTCAATTGAAAAGCTTTTTTGACTAATATTCTTGCTTTTTCAACATGTGAAAAAAAATATATATACATTTACATTTTACATTTAAGGCATTTAGCAGATACTTTTATCCAGAACAACTGATTCAAATGCTTTCCTTTCTCTCATCAAAGTCAACAGATGGCAAGAAATTAGTTCTGAAATTAATCTGCCTTACTTCACTGTTTTTATGTTTTTAGTTGTACCATCCTTTTAATACTTAATTTTATGTATACAGTAATTTTGACAACTTTGACTACTTTTTGCATTTTATGGACATGTTATAACTGTTCTGAATTGTGCCTCTGAGCTGACAGCAGAAGTCTGAATCTGCCAGATGTGTCCTTCACTTGTCCTTTTCTTTAAAAATGACCTCTAGTCCTACTGGGACAATAAAACAAATCTGTTCAGGCTGATATTCAGGGATGAGCACACCATAAAAGAGGAATGCGTTTGACCTTTATGTCTTTTTTATGGTTTAGGTGATGATAATGCCAGAGGAATAACCCATCAGTGTTTATGAGCTGCAAAGACAAGTTTCAGATCACTGTACAGCCAAAGACAAACGCTGACAAATCCATCTCATGTGCTTTACTGATTATAAACAGGAAACCACAGTCTTAAAAAAAGAAAACTGAAATTAAAGTCAGATACCTCTGTTGATGGAAACCGCTCCAGCTGATTTTTTTAGTATAGTGAATTAAGTGAATTATTAATACAGTTTTAGTCTCTATTTGAAATAATAAAGGCTCACAATGTAAAATACTCAAAGAAACTTTGTACATTGTTTCAAGAATAAAAGCATCTGACAGACATATATTGCAAGTTCCCTGCAGAATCTCATAACAGCCTTTTATTATAAACATGTCTCCTCCACAGATGACAATATTTGAGAAAAAATCAAACCTTTATATTCAGATTATAATACGAAAGGTTATAGAAGTCAAAACTAGATTTACGGTTTGTGCTGTCTCCCATTTTTATTGTGAAAATATATCAAATTCATGAATTTTACCAATATAATGGCTGCTAACGGAATGTCACAAATATTATTCTTTAACTGTGTTTCTGAATTCACTTATCGTTCCTGTCAGTGAAAGTCATAAACAAGATATCACTTTCACAGGTGTGGAAATTTCAGTCTATACGCTCCAATTGGTTGTGACATGATTTGATATCTTACTGAAGGTGCCGTTTTCTGTATTGCTACATTGAAAACTCCCAGAGGCTCTGACGGCTCATCCAGAATCAGCAGGTCTTTATTGCACTTTGAGCAAATCAACAGTTCAGTCATTGTATCGCCGCGGCTCCTCCAGAGGTTTAATGTTATTTCTTCTTCCTGTACGAATATTACATGCATCGCCTCACAGCCTGAGATGCTTTTCTCTCTGTGTGGCTCTACAGTAGACGGTTATTCTTTTCTGAGATCTGTAACCAGATGATATCCATGGGTCCATAGAGGGCGCTTACTTATGACCGATATATTGCTAGACTATATATATATTGCACTGTGACTCACTTTGGGAGGCCTGCAGTGATGATTTCGGTCAAATTTCCACCACTTAAAAAATGATGACCTCTCCAAAGATCATCGAATCAGATCAGCTGGTGTTATTATGGACATTTTTCGCTGTGATAGAATTCAAGTGATTCAAAGTGACTGCAGACAGCAGAAGACCACTTGGACCAAAGTGGTCCGTTTTGAATCTAAGAGTGTCTTTTTATTTAAAATGATATTTCCCGCATAGACATTTTGAGTGAAAAGAAGAAATTGCAAAAAAAAAACAAATTCTCACATAAGCATACAAATAAAAACATGTTGAAATACAGGTGCATCTCAATAAATTAGATTGTCGTGGAGAAGTTCATTTATTTCAGTAATTCAACTCAAATTGTGAAACTCGTGTATTAAATAAATTCAATGCACACAGACTGAAGTAGTTTAAGTCTTTGGTTCTTTTAATTGTGATGATTTTGGCTCACATTTAACAAAAACCCACCAATTCAGAGTTTCACGATTTGAGTTGAATTACTGAAATAAATGAACTTTTTCACGAGATTCTAATTTATTGAGATGCACCTGTACACTCACACTGTTTTTCATTTGTTCTTCTGGAGGTGAAACGCTGACTTGATATTTTCTATCTTTGAACAACCCCGAGGACTTAAATTCCTGCTGTTATCTCCTCCTATTTTTTCAAGAATTAAAACAAAAATTAGATGTGAACACAATGTGATCTAATGGTGTGTGAATAACCCTTAGTAAATGTTTAATGAACCAACTTGGTCACAGTGAGGAATGTTAATCACCTGCAGCATTCGGTCTGCATATATGCTAATCAGTGTATCACCATTATTAAATATTTTCTTTGTATTTATGCTTGTGAAAGAAAATAGTAAATTAATATTTTTGGCTCCATTAATACAGTTGTAAGTGTTAAAGATGAACATTTAAATGCTAAAATTAACATTTATTAGCATTTATAGTTACCTTGTGTCTTCACCCAAATGTTTCAGTCAATCCTCTGTCCCACAGGATTCCACCCAACGTGCGGGACATTGTGTACTGCACAGGCGTTTCTCTGATGGATGAGGATGTGTGGGAGTTTATCTGGATGGAGTTTCACTCCTCTACAGCCATCTCTGAGAAGAAGGTTCTCTTGGAGGCCTTGACCTGCAGTGACAACATCTTCCTGCTCAACAGGTCAGTCGACCTCATTAACAATGACAAAGCAACGAAATTCAAATAACAAGCTGCTGTAGCGTGACACGTTTATCAGTCGGTCTCAGATGAAAGTTTTAGCTTCTTTTTAGCTTGGAATCTCAGTACAACCGGCTTCTTCATTCAGTTTTTCATGATTTTTTGGGGGGCTTTCTGCCATTTTATTTGAGAGCAGGTTTCTGGAGGTCTCTGGAGCATGTATTGTACTCCTCTGACTATAACTCACTCGTTAATTTGTAGTCTACTGTACCTCATGAAGCAATCCGATTCAGTCCTTTCCTCCACATCATGTCACTCACACCAGCAGAGCTGCACTCACTCCTCTAATGGGGCAGTAAAGACAATGGCTGCCGTAGGAGCTTTTCCCCACAAGTCTCCAATGTGTCTTAAATCCTCTCCCAACTCAATAGCAGGATTCATTTTTTTCTATAGTGGTAACTGCCATCCATGAAGGTAAAATTAATGAGTGTTTCTCAGATTGTAGAGTTCAGTTAGATGTTAGGAATAGCCTTAAGGTTGACGTTAAAGTTTACAATATAATGCACACTTGCTTCTGTTTTATCCGTAGTTTTTGGCAGCATTGGAGTTGAGACCACTGCTATTCCGTCTGAGTAAAGACAGAGATCAGAAGAGAGTAAAGTCTGAGTCAAGATCAAGACCTGAAGAGGGTAGAGTCTGAGTAAAGGCCGAGACCAGAAGAGGGACAAGTCTGATTTAAGATCGAGACCAGAAGAGGATTTAGTTTGAGCCAAGACAGAGACCAGATAAGAGGTTCGAGTTTGAGTCAACATTAAAATATGGCCTTGGACTCAGACTCAGACCATAAACATTAAAATATGGTCTCTGACTGAAGGACCAAGACCATGAAAATATAGTCTAGTCTATACACCCAGACTCGAAACCGAGTCAAAACCATATTTTCATTGTCTTGGTCTTGTCATGGACTCAGGATCATGCAGTCTTGACTCGACCCTCTTCTGGTCTCCGTCCTGACTCAGAATCAAATGAGCTGGCCCTTACTACAACACTGGCTGTTGGTAAGGGTTATATTTGGTTAGGACTATGCATTTTGACATGTAAATCTTGTTCCATGATCCTGCTTGGCAAAATCATGGTCACCTTGTGATGGTAGTTGGTTTTATTTAGTTTCTTAAACTAACTGAAGCAGATCAATTATTGCTATTAGCTGGTTCAAGCTTGTTTAGGTGGTTAATAAGCTGGACAAGTTCAACCTGCTTAGAGCTGCTAGACCATCTTGACCTGTAGTTCTAAAACACATCTTGAAATCGTTGACAACCTTGACTTTTTGGATAGATATGGAAAGAAAAGGCCAATAAACCTTTCTCCCCACAACACAAAAGTATCTGAATATTAGTAAATTATGTGACATGCAGTAGTGATGTGATGGTGTTGAAAGTGCCAGACATTATTGTTAGAAAAAACACTCTAACAATAGTCACGTGCTAATTAGAGACTGACACCTAGTGCTACAATGCATAGCATTAGCGGGATGTGGTAGCCACATCGATGTGTGAAGAACCTGTAAATGAATTTAAATCAGCTCAAAGAAAAAACTGCAGCTGTTGACTGTCCATGAATTCCCATGAAATAAAGTTTTTAGGCATCTCTGTTCAATGCGCAGGTAGCGCCTTATGAATCATTGTTGCCTAGTAAGCATTTGGTGTTGCTTTATACACTTCAGATATCTCTCATTACGGAGATTTGTTTTTGTGTCAGATAATGAAGATCTAATTATGTATTTGACTTCTGAAGTAAATGATGGCTAATCAGGAAGTTTCAAATAGCATTCTCTTTCAACCTCATATCTGTGGCATGTTGTACACTCCATAATTATCTCTGGATGTGAGTATAAATGAACAGGAAACCACTCCATACCACCCGTAATATGCCTAATTGGTTTGTAATGGCATATACATGACTTTGTTCCTGTCTACCTGAATCGTTTGACTTCAGAAAGATCAGGCACTGTTCAACTGCACCATCATGATTCAAAGGTGCAAATGTTTGAGTACTTTCCTCAAATGAGGTCTCAAAGGAGTGATTTTTAAAACCCTGATTAAATCTAATCCAGTCTAAATTACCCAGTTAATAATGATTCTCCTTTGAAAAGCCATTTAAGTATAAAACTACCCAATCCGTCAGGTATCTGCCTGTATTTAAAGTGATGCTGGTGTCGGTTCATTCAGAGCCCCGCAGGAAACGAAAGACTGGGGAAATTTGAAATATTTAATGACTGCAGCATTCAGACATCCACCTAGTGTTCTAGTGTTGGACTTAAAAGAGTGGAGAAGACCTCTAGCAGCAGTTCATTGATTTCAGCCACACTTAAATTTCACACAGCATGCACACCCTTACGAAAAATAAGTTTGCAAAGCCCCACGTCCCTGATGAGCAGCATGTGTGTGTGAGAGTGTGTGTTTGTGATATTTAATCTACCGCAGAGAAAACTGCCCTGTGTTTGGAGTGAGCTAGAAAATGTCTGAAGGATGGAGTGTGTGGAGTCTGTGTGTAGTATTGATTTGAATGGCATGAAGTGAATTGCATCTCCTTCCTCCATGTTTTTACTTCTTTTGATGATGTATGTTGTGATCCAATGGGCAGAAAATAATACCTCTCCACTACTGGAATGTGTGTGTGTGTGTGTGTGTGTGTTTTAGCTGATCTCACTTCCGCTCTGACTGCTAACCTACAGATGTTCCTGCAGCCTTAGAGACTGAAATCTCAGTAAAAGGAAAAAAAAATCACTACTGTAATCACTTCCTATTCATTCATCACACTGGAAATTGAAGTTCAGGTCAAGTGTATTGCATTGTGGGATGGTTGTATACCATATTGCAGTAAATGTAGTAGGTATCCTTTGCATATAGGAAAGGTACATACTGTGCACAGTGTACATTCTGTATACTTAAGACAGTAATATGCTAGTATGCTAATCTGAAAATGCTAATCTTTATGGTGGCATTATCAGTCATGAACAAAACAAAAAAGCAAGCTATGCTGACAATGTTTTCACACTGTCACAAATATTCCTGCTAGAATTCAATTACACAAGTCCAATATCAGAATTTCCAAGTGCTAATTTAAAAAGAAAAAAAAAAGTGATGAGAATGAGCGCCGCTAAAGAAACTGTTCTGAAATCTTGTTTGCACTTGTCCTTAGAGGAAGCAGGTGATGTCACGTTTGAGAGCTGTGAAGCTGCTGTCCGCACATAGATATGAGTTTTGTCGGCGTGGCAATAATCTCCAGGGTTTTTGTGAAAAAGTGCTACAAGTGACTTAGCGACACATGAAGTCAAAAGCCCAGAAAAGCGGTTGAACTGAAATAAGAGACCAAAAAACAGCGAAGCAATTACTCCACATGTTTTTGCAAATTGAAACTTGTGCACCGTGGCAGCGTCTTTATGTGAAACATCTAATTTCCTATTTCTTCCTTTTTCATCTACTTGACATTTCGCACCAATTTGAAGCGAATGGGTCTATCTGCATTTGATTTGGGCTTTTCAGGTTAATTACTTTTTGAAGACGCCGACTCACAGTCTTAAAATATATTTGAATAATTGTGTTTCGCCAGGACTGTCAGTGGCTGTCTTTGCTGAAAACGGCGAAGAATAATGTGTTTTGTATCTCAGATTTACTCGAGCTTTAAACTAGCATAGGATCACAAAATTGAATATGAAAAGCATAATTAGCAAAGATATAACAAATATGATGACAAACTAAGGAAACTCTTATTTAATTGTCTTGTCCACAGGCTTCTGAATCTGTCCCTCACCTCTGACCTGGTGCCGGATCAGGACGTGATCGATGTTATCATACATGTGGGCCGCAATCCTCTGGGAAGACATTTAGCATGGAGATATTTCTGCGAGAAGTGGGACATCTTGAATTCCAGGTGAATGTGGCTTCATTCATCTCTGTTTATCAGTGGTTTTAACCTTCCTCTCAGTCCCTGATATGAATTTCACATTCGCACACTCATAAGATATTTATTTGTGAATGTTATTTCTTGTTTGTGTTTGGAGGACCAGAGAGCATTATGGGAAATATCTACTAGTGTTTGTTTGCTTGTGGTGCTCCAGTGTTTTTAATAACAGTGTCTCTCATTGGCAGGTATGGAGAAGCCTTATTTATGAACTCAAAATTAATCAGCGGCGTGACAGAGTTTCTCAACACTGAGGCTGAGTTGAATGAGGTGAGGCTGAACTTTTACCACATCATGGGAATGAACTTTCAAACTAAAACAGTAATCTTCATGGAACATTAATACTTACAAACAAACTCTGGTCAGCAAATTATTGAGATGGAAAATGAGCAAAAGTAAACTCTGAAGACTCTGGACTGTTCTGGGTTATTTCCTCGTTGTAACTGCTTAACCTTATTACAGGAAATGGAACGTATATTCACTTATTCAGCTTCAGCCCCAGAGGACACAGACTGCTGATGCTTCTCACTGCAGCGCAGCACTTTCTCATCCAGCTGACTTCGCCTTCCATAATTTATCATTCATACAGAGATAATACAAAGCCCCTCAGTGTTTTCTTAAACAGAGCATTAGCATACTGTCATTGACAATCAGCTGCTGCCAGAGCACTTCATCCACAGATTCACGAACGATCAGCGCTACATTTAATACCAGTGGTTTGGAATGATCCTTTTACTTCTTTTAGAAGTTTCTATGAATGAACAGCAATTTTGAAATTGCCAGAATTGGACCAAAGGAGCAGCTTGAATCCTGAATCCCAGTGCATGTTCATTCACGTAGTCTTCATGACCTTAGGAATTGAGAATCATTTTCATAATGCGTTGCTTGGTAAATGGAGATTTTTTGGTCGAGATTTTATGCCCTTAATTGATGTTAGAGGCTAGCAGAGTTTTTTTTTTTTTCTTCTTTTTTTTAACAGACACCCAACGGTCCTTCCCTTCCAGAAAAACATCAACACCGATAATTCTGTTTACTTCAAATGCATTCCCACACCTCATTATCATAAACATCATTATCTGCTAAATAACATGTCAGGCATTTGCATGTAAATGCATTCTATATTCTGACGCTGTTTCACTGATGAAGATGCCACTTACACACATAAACACACAAACTCTCTACATCTGATACATCAGACACACTACAATGACAATGTTAATGATAATGTTAATCATTTCTGTTTTTTACCTTCTTTTCTTCAGCTGAAAGAGTTCATCCTCACCAGCGGGGGAGAGTCAGCACCTGCGTTTGCTCGAGCTGTTGAGATCGTTCAAACTAATGTAAAATGGCACATCCTGTTCCAACAACAGTTTTACCGGTGGCTGCGGAAAGCTCCCGATGGTTAGCCTCTATTAGCATGGAAACCCTATCAGACATTTCCAGGCCATACACATGAGGACACTTACGTGCTATTAAAAATGAAACATTTATGGACTCTGAGAAGCAGCAGAATTGAACTCCTATTTCCCTGCTGTTCATGAAACAACCAGGCACCGGCTGACCAAGACAAATTCCCAGAGAACAGCGCCACCCTGCTGGCCAGCACAGTCACTGCACCAGAGACAATATAAAGGGGAGGAGATGGACAACTTGTAGAAAATTCATTGAAGAAATTGCAATACTCAATATAGTAACTGAAGGAATGGAATTTGCACTTTTGATTAAAAAAAAAAAAAAGTTTAATTTTACACCCGAATGTGGATTGACTCGATCAGACTGATAAATAGTTTTTTTTTTACATGATTTGAGCCAAAGAGGCAAATTTACTATTCTCTTGTTGTCCAAATTGTATTCATAATATGAAACATAAATAATTTTTAAAACATAATCTTGACAAGCAATTTTGAAAATGTCAGTCTTTCCCCCAATTCAGGCAAATTTAGGAGATGTACATGTACGTGTATTAACTACAAAAGAAAAAATGGCCATAAAGGGACTTTCTCTACACTTTCTCTACACTACACTGCATTCTCTTCCCCAAAGACTGCTGCTGATCTCAGATGGAACAAAATCTCTTTTAAAAGTTTAAATTTCAGTGACAAGCTACTCTTTGCTTTCCTTGCACAATCCATTTTATTGACTTATATTTTGTACAATATCAACTGAGCCATATCTACCTTCATCAATCAGTTAAATAAAGGTAACTGCAGGTCATGAGAGGATCCAGAACAGGCCATTGTCTTTTATCATGGACAAATACATGCAGGCTTGTCTGATTAAGGGTCGATGCTAATTAAGGGATTCTTAAAGGTGCCTATCTCTGTTGCCTTTGGTCAGTAGTGGATTGAAAATGAGTTTGAACAATGGAGATTCTATAATATTGACACATGATGATTATATATCTTGAAGGATATGTATTTACTTGTATGCTGTTTTATGTATATATATTTATACAAAGTTAAATAGCATATGGGTTAATGATGTGGCACTTTTTTTCTTTTTTTTTGTTGGTTTGTTTCAAGTTTTTTGGAATTAAAGGGATAGTTCATCCAAAAATTAAAAGTCTGTCATTTACTCACCCTTATGTCATTACGACTCACCCATACGACTTTTATCTTTGGAATAATAATAAAAAAAAAAGATGTTTTCTAAATTTTCCTCATGATTTTTGTCTTCTAAAGAGACAATTGCTTTATATGATAAACTGATTGATTTAAGCTTTTATTCCCATGTATCCATTGATCAATGCAAATAAAGCTCAGTATGGTAGAAGCTCAACACAGAAGCTCAACCGTGTGCTTGATGTGCAAGAACAAACCTCAACGAATTTCATCTCAATGAATTTCATCCATCAAGAAAGCAAATTATGAAAATATTTTCATTTTTCGATGAACTATCCTTTTAAGTTATTATTGATGCAGTTTATACAGACAATGACCTAAATGCTGAACTTCTGTGATGAAAGTGTTCAAATTCTGAATTAAAATTAATTTTGATATGTTTTGTGAAAAATTTAAATAAAACATGTCAGAGTGGTGTAACCATTAAAAGACTATTATTATTTTACAATGTTTGCCATGATTATGCATAATTATTGCTTAATAATTATATAATTATATAGTATAACTATTTCTTCTTACTTTTTTAAAGAAACAAATATTAATATTTGAAAAACTTTTGTCCACCAAATCCGAGTCACTGTGGTATAACCAGCATATAGCATTTTTGTCATTTGATATCATAACATGGTCATATTTGACCTTTTTATGATGTGGCAAAGGTTGTCAGATGTCAAATGGTATAACCTGAAATTTAAGAAACTATTTGGAAGTAATGATGATGTCCATATCCCATTTATTTACTTATTTTGTTAACATTTATTTATGCATGTATTAATAATGTTTTATTACCTGGTGGTTGCACCACTTGACATTTTTATTAAATATATGTTTACGTAGACCCTTATAATCAACTCTTATATATTTTTTTCTCTCTACTCTTGTGCAGATACATACTTCTTGCAAAGTAGTTTTCACCATTAACTTTTTGTAGATATGTTGACTTTAATCTCCTCAAGTTAATTTGTGTGTTTATTTGTTTTGTATATGTTGCAGACATAAAATGTCAAATGAAGAGCTTAAAAATATATCAGTTATCAGTGCCTTTTCTACCTCACTATCCTTTTCCAATTAGAAAGACTGGCAGTGCCTTAAATAAACCTGTCGTAAACATTCCCATGATTTGGTGTCTGATTTTTCAAACAAGTCAGACATAGCAGGTTTGAAACGTTTCAAGCCTACCTAAAAGCAGCTGGAACCCTGGAGCCACAGATGTCGACACAGTAAGATGAAGTGTTCAGCTTTCTGCAGACTCCGCTCTGATTGTTACTCTAAAGTCACTAAAATAAAAGTATTATGAATGACAGAAAAAAGGTTGACACAGTCAACCAAATAAAAATCTTCTATTGCGCACTGTGGATGCCAAAATAATTCTGCAAATGTCTATTCTTTCTCAGGATGAGGAGTTCACTTTATCAGTCAATTTTGTAGAGCATTTAGAGAACAATGTGAAAACATTATTGAACCATAATAAAAAAAATTTATCCAACTTGAAATCATTTATGGCAGGGTTATGGATTTTTTTGGTTCAAGCAATATGGAGTGTATAGTGGTTCTGTCTGAAAGGAAAATCTACCAGTCATTGGCTGATTGGATTAGTCCTTTACAGTGTCTGCAAAGCTGGACGGCGACAAGAATTGCTTGAAAACATGATCACCTTTGTACTCTTTCTACCTTTCCATCATGCTGCTGAAGTACTGATAAGTCCTGGCTGTCCTCCTTCATTCATCTTTGCCTCCAGGCCACATGTTCACGTTTCGATCTTGTGGCTGCTGTACGTGGTTCTGAATGATCTCCTTTACTGGAGTGAGAAATAGCAGTGAACGCCATTATTGCCTTAACTCTCCCAGTGACTCTCAAAACAGTCATAATATGCACCGGAGACTAGCATAACTATAATCTGCAAATCAAGCTTTTTTTTTTTTTTAAATGTCACAGTGAAAAATAGCTTCATTAGCTGCTCACAGTTGAAAATAATCTTGTGCCCCACAACAGTCAACAAGTTTTCTTTTATCAGTTGTCCAGTGTGGTTTTCCACAAAATAGAAGTGTGAACAAACCTGTACATACCTCTAAATCTAATTTACCCATAGAAGCAGTTTTCAAAATTCTATTTCTGTATTTTTGATCAAATAAATGCAGGCTTGATGAGCATAAGAGACTTATGACCAAACTGTTGAATGGTGTAGTGTGTGTTTGTTTGTGTGTGTGTGTGTGTCGTCGCAATCCTTCAAATAATCTACCTCCTATAGTTTGTTTTCCCTAAACTACTCACAATCATCAAATAATGTTTTGCAATTATTAAAAATTATGCCAGTATGCATAATAAAATGAAAATTAGGGCCATATACTTTATTTAGTAGCTTGTATACGTACTGTACTTGTATACATAGATATATATAGGAAGTAAAATCAAGCCAAAAGAGTCGCCCAGCAGCACAAACGTGACTGGATAATTTGTTCTGATCTATAAGGCAACATCAAGGACCATGACAAAAATTCCAGAACATCCTTTCAAGGCAATTTTTATGCCTTATAAACCTTACCCTTACGCTTTCAAAGGGTTGTGAAATGATGTATTTCTTTTAAGGATGACTAAAGTTTGGCGGCGGGTCAAAGATGAAATTGAAACAGGGAGGCAGAACTGGAGAAATCACAAAAATACATACTATCATCCCTCACTATTACCAGAATACTTCAGCAGGTGTCAGTACTACGCTTTCTCACAGTCTTGGACTGGTTCCTTGGCAGAGAGTGCAAAATGGATAAAAGCTGCACAATGTGACGCCTCAAAAGCCAATAGAACCTATTATAATACTCTTTACACTGGGTGCGACGCGGAGCAACACGACGAGTTACCGATGTAAATGGTTTGCGATACTTCTACCAAGAAAAACAAAGTTTAAATTTGAAAAATGAAATTCATTTCATGTTTTTTAAATGAAATTAGACATTTTTTTTTTCTGTTGTTCACTGCTCCGTGAAAAAGTGGTGCTTCTGTAGCAAAAGAACAGTGAGATCACAGAAAGACAGTTTCATCTTTGGGGTAACCTTTTCAAAAAGATGGAAACGTTTGCATAATTTTGCAGGTTTTTCTTCTCGCTCACACAGCCACACATACTTAGTATGCATGGAAATCCCTTGCATTTTCACAATATCAAACAATAGCTTTGCTAATGATCAAACAAAGTAAATCTATTGTGCATCACTCAATCGCAATGTTAATTACAAAGGAGGACTACAATGTATATGGGGAAAATAGTCCTTTTACATCAAATCTTAATGAATTCAAAGCATTTGACAAGTTTGGAAGAGGAAATGGCTTTGATGTTTCAGTTTAATGAATCAAAGGGAAAAATAAAGAAACAGTGCGTTGACTGAACATTTTATGGGAAAAACAGCATTCAATCTGTCATTGTGTAGCCTGAGCTCTGATATTGCGTGCTAAAACTCACAGCACACATCTTATCTGAACAAATCTCAATGGAGATTGTGTTCAGAGGGCATAAATATTATTTTACACCCGCATTTCTGTTGTTTAATTTTGTTCTGAATTGTTTGCTTAAGAGTGATTGTACTTAAGCAAAGGTAAGATAAATTAATTACATTAATTCATTAATTGAATTACATTTCTAATAAAATTGTAATACAATTACAATTAATACAATTAATAAAAAAAATTAATTAACTCAGAAATAAAAATCCTGTCATTGTTTACTCACCCCTAACCCTCCAAACCCAAATCACTTAATTTCTTGCATGGAACACAAAAGGAGATGTTTTGAAGAATGTTCATACTGCTCTTTTTCTCATAAGGAAAGTGAATGGTGACTGGGACTGCCAAGGACGAAAAAAAGGAAAAAAAGGAAAGTAGACCATTAGATTGTGTGTTCTAAAGTCATACAATACCCAATATTATGGAAAAAAAATAGGTTGAGATGGCATTTCACATTGACATTTGAGGTTTGTTCAAACATTCCTAAAGACTATATACATAAAGTATCTATAAATCATTATTACATTTTGAAAACCCGCATGATCCCATTTGATTTATCTGCTTGC